CACAACAGACCAGACATCACACTCATTGACAAACACAATAAAATCACATACATTATAGACATAGCCATTCCAAACACTCACAATGTACAAAACACATGCACTGAAAAAATTAGCAAGTACACAGAACTCGCCCAGAAAATAAGGCATCTGTGGAGGATGGATAGGGTGCTTATTGTACCTGTCGTTCTCTCCTGTACAGGTGATACCACACACACTACACAAAAGCATGGGAACATTACAATTGAGTAGAAATACATACATCACACTACAGAAGGCCACTGTATTGAATACATGCCATATTGTTAGGAAATTCCTGAATACAGACACAGACACACTTACTTATTTAATTTTAGTTTTGTTTTGGTTGCTATGTCTTGACTCTTGTTCGGCATAGTACACAGCCACCAGTGTGTACTGAGTATAACCCACTAAACCCAACATAATAATAATAATAATAGTGATAATTTTAAAAATGCACTAAGGATTATTGAAAAATTTCTTGTATGTTACCAGTGTTATGTTATTTTTACAGTTATTTTTATGATGTGACATTCAGCCATCTAGAATTTTTTAAGGTGCCATCTATCATAATCTTTACAGTGAATAATAATAACATATTCTGAAATAACAGTGTTTGAAGTAACAATGTTATTAGTTATGACTTCTGAAATAAAATGTATGTAAAATTCATTATTTATTAATATTACAAAAAACATTATTACAGGAGAAGGAAATATTTGGCAATAAAATCCATCCTCAAAAAGAAGAGGACACAATTAGTAATAAGTCTATTAATGGTATTAAAAATAATAAAGAAAAAGGATCCATCATTGAACAGCCGTCCAAGGAAAATAGCTATGGTTCTATTAATGCCAGTTCAGAAGAAGAAAAAAAGGATGCCAGCAAAGAAGATTTAGAAATGAAACGTGGTAAGTTTTATAAGTATTGATATCATAGATAGTAAATATTAATTAAATAAATTTATAAAAGACATTAAAAATTTCAAAATATATTTTATTAAAGATTTTAATACAGCTCTCCCTTGATAGTCCGATGTTTTTTAATCCGACATGCTCAGTAGTCTGACGCACCTCCCGTCAAGGTACCCATCCCTGTTATGTGTCTGCTTGCACAGAAGCATGTCGCGACATGAATCTCCCCATCCAATTTTTACACGATGACACACGTTTTGTGTGTTTTCTGTGAGCAGTTCTGTTCGAACAGTTGGAGTAGGGAATATTGTAAGCTACTGCTAGCAAAACAATGCAAAATATGTAATTATTTTCGGTAATCTGGACACTTTTGGTAATCCAACACCCCTTTGGTCCCATACCTGTTGGACTATTAAGGGAGAGCTGTATTTAAAAAGTGTTATATGTTTTAATATTAATTAAGTAAATTATTCTAATGCTACATTAATTAATTGGGGCTTTCAAATTGAATATATCATAGATATACAGTTTATCTTGAAAATAATTTTATTTACTTTAATATTTATTTTGTTCATTTTTCATGGCAATCTCTATCTAGAGGATTGCAGGTGATAGACAGTTTTTCTCCATTAGACTGTTCAATGGGGCCTCTACCAATCTTCTTTTGGTCCAGTCGCTGCAGTTATCCTCCCATTCAAGTTTGGATCTTCTTGTTTTCCTCTTTACCTCCAACTTGCCTTGAAGCATAGTCTTAATTAAACTTCTTGAAGATCCTCTTGAAATGTGTCTTCCAAAAATGCTTCTTTTTACATCAAAACTTTTTCTATTATTTTTTAACTTAAATTTCTCCAGAACTTGTTCATTTTTAACTTTGTCATTCTATTTGATTCTTTCTATCCTTCTGTAGCACCAAATTTCAATAATAATAATTTTATTCATCAATGTTTTGTTCAGTGTCTATAATATTTATTGTATTATTGTCATTATGTATTTTATTAATATTTTGTGATAGATAAAAACTGAAATAAAACTATAATTTTAAAAAATTGTTATTAGGTAGAGTTTTAAACAGAGTTTAGAAAGTTTTTCTCTCCGTTTTGTTTTTTCATTTCACTTATTGTATAATTAAATCTATAATGATGTAAAATAAGAAAATAACATTTAAATGTTTGAGATAGTATCTTAAACTGCATAACAGTAATCTTATTTGTAGGAATATATCCATTTTGGTGTAAAGTATTTTAAAATAATTTTTATTAATTAGTCAAGGAACTAATTAACTGGATAAATTTCATTTAACTCAGAAGAAAGAACCTCTAAATCTATCAATAACTTTTTAAAGAATGAACATATCAATTATCTTTAGTCTCTGTACTCAAGATTTGCTCTTACTGGTATTTAGTATTTGATGATTGAATTTTGAACATTTATTTTAATATTTTTGTGTTTGTTTATTATTATTTAACTTCACGTTTAATTAATAGTTTTACTTTTTAGAACCTGAAGATGGCTGTTTAACACAGTCAAAAACATTCATTTATTAAGAAGTTTAATTTAAAAGTTCTTGTTGTAAAATGATTAAAAACTAATTATCATTTTAAAAATTAAAAATACAGTAGAATCCTGATCAGAGCCTAGGTTAATCAAGGTTCTGCATTATCCAAGGCAATCTAGTAAGTGAATACACTGCTTTTCTTATACTAAAATTCATAAAAGAAAGTTTTAAACAAAAATAAATATAACAAAAGAATTACTTTCTGTTAAATTTTATTATTTAACTTTAATGTGAGACAAACCATTTATATTAAAATATAACTATAATAGTATACGTTTTATTCTTATTATATTTAACAGATGTATAATAAATGATGTAAAATATATTATTTGTATATACAAGGGTCATTCAAGGTTAAACAAGACTTTTGGGCCTATAATTTTGAAAAGTAACTGTAGCATGATAAAACCCAAAGAGGGAGTAGCGTTATTCATCCCAAGATTTTGGTAGCAAGCATGACATATTTTAGTTAGTGATCATATAGCAGTTTTAGTGATCATAGCAGAAGGTAATGTGCTCGCAATGGTGGAACAGCGGTGCATAATCAAATTTCTCATGAAGGAAAATGTTAAATCTGATGAAATTTTGAGAAGATTGAGAGCACAGTATGGAGAATAAATGCTATCATGGGCAATAGTGTACTAAATGGTGTTGACAATTTGGTGAAGGACGAGAGCTGGTAACACCAGTGTATATTGCATGAGTTGAGCAAGTTATCCTGGAGAACTTGTGAGTAACCATGAAACACATTGCAGACAAAGTATCCATCAGTGTGTGTAGTGTTGAGAAAATCATCCACAAGCACTTACTGTTCTGCAAGATGTGTGTGCGAATTTGACAATATCAACTCTGGCCAAAATGGGCTGTGAGATGTTGCCTCATGCCCCTTAAGGTCCAGATTTAGCTCCCAGTGATTATCATTTATTTGGACCCCTTAAAAGAGTATCTGGCAGGAATGAAATTGCAGATAGATGATGAACTGCAGCAAATAGTTCTGTGCTGGTTACTATCACTTCCTCTTCTAATTTCAATTTTATCACTTTTAATTTCTTAGAGGTAAAGTCTGTGCACATACAGACAATCTCTCTACTCTTTTAATGTAATCTGTTGGTTATGACGTCAGCCCACTTTTTACTACAAGAAAGGTATCAGGGACCTACCCTGTCACTGGAAATAGTGTGTACATACAGATGGGACACATTTCAAAAAATTGACGTAGTTTATACATGTTTTGGACATTCCTTTTGGTCTGTAGAAATAAAAGTCTCATTTAACGTTGAATGACTCTATGATTAAATTTACTAAAAACAGGCATAGTATATCATATAAATCTTTTATATTCATAACTGTTAATTTGAAATGGCCATAGACATCTTTTTATCCAAGTTTTCAGTTACTTGAGATAGCATTGATCCACATTATCTTGGATAATCAGGGATCTACTGTATATGGAATTCAATTTATTATAAGTTATTTAAAAGCTATGAAGACTGAATTTCTTAATATTAAATAATGCTTAATTTTGAAAAATATAGAAATTATCCACATTCAACATTCTATTATAATAGATTAAAGTTTTTAAGTACTGTAATTGACTTTTGAACCACTTAAAAGTCAGTTAGAGTACTGTACTTAAACCTGTAACGTGATTTCAACTTGACTGGAAGTGCTGAGTAACAACAACTATTATACATAACAAAGTATAAGTATATAGTTGTATATACTATAAGTATATCATAATATATATATATATATTTTATGATATACTTAT